CCCTGTGCTTTGCTAGCTTGTTCTAAGTAGGTTCTTTAGACCACTGAGCCATCTCACTAGCCCCAAAGTAGAGTGTTTGAGCAGAGTTCACTGATCACTATGTAAAACACTTACAAAACCCTTCAGGCCTTTCCCTGAATGCTCAGATTATAAAATGCACAGCTGCATCATTCAGACAAATGTGTGATCCCTGATCTATTTTGTCTGACCCATCTTTCAGGCTTTTAGGGTTACTCTTGATGCTTTTTTTTGGGGGGGGGGTCTGTTGCTTGTATTTTAAATTCCTCTTTTGAATGAAATTAAACTGACTATCCCAGGTGAAGTCAAGAGAGAGGTAAGCACAGAAACAGATTTTGACATCACATGGCTGTTGATGAAGGGACTAGAGATGAGGCTGCTGAGGGAGTGAGTGTGGGTAAAGAAGAGACATGGGCTGAAGACCCATCCCTGAACCCTTAGGCCTCATAGGTAACCACAAGGAAGTGGCTCAAGAACAGAGATCATGGAGGAAATTCAGGAGAATTGACAAAAGAAATGAATGAGTGAATCCAAGCTCAGCCTGTTGAATTTTGGAAATCCCCCTTCTACCATTGTTAATAACCTGCACAGTGTGGATTGTATTGCTAACCTGGCCTTCCCAGTTGCTCTCAGGCTGGGCCCCTCAGCTTCCCAGACTTCATGTGGCCGAGTGTGTGCATCTTTTGGTCCAGAGAGTATCTCAGGAATGACCTTGCTTTGGTTTTCCACTCTGTGAATGTATAAGCACATCTTTGCCTGTTACACTTTGGGGTTTGCAGAGTTAGTGATGATTGTCCTCACTTGCAGCAAAAAGGCCCTGGCTGTGTGGAAAGTGAACACAGCTCAGGCTTCCATGTCCCCCACACAAGCTCTGGGCTTGTTGACTTTCCAATGTGGCAGGATTTGTGCCAACTGAGGGACCTTATGGTGGAATAGTAATAAGTCACTTCTTTAGCTGATAAGTCATTATCGCCTTCAGTTTATAAACTGGACCCAGATGGGTCAAGAACTGTGGGCCAGTTTCATACAGCTTCCCTGTGTATTTGTAGGCTCTGTCTCAAGCATACCTTTTATAAGTCACTGTCCACACGACTTAGGACGACATAATCTGTTAGGTTACGAAGCAGTGTGTTTGCTGGGAGCTAGAAGCACCATCTTTCCATGCCTCCTAGGCATTTTGTGTTTAGGTCTGCCAAATTAAAAAAGTCTGAATCAAGCTAATTCCATTTATAAGATCTGAACCTGGTACAGTGTCCTCTGCTGTCCTCTTGTCCACCGCACAAGCTTAAGATGCCAGCATGCACTAGAGCTGTCAGGGGCGGGATCCACTGGTGGTGCCGAGCGTTTCCTGAGTGAAGCAAATGAGCGAAGGACATTTGGATATCTCTTGCACTGCTGACCAGATAGCATATGGAACTGAAACATTAAGAACAATCTGTTGATAATTTTAGAAGAGCCAACTGTGTACAACTTTGGCCAAAATGGTGTTAGTTTTGGAAACTAGACAAATGCAAAAACATAGTGTTGCACTTGTTTACTTGTGGCCGCTTTGAGATCCTGGCATCATTTTGGTGTCACACACTAAGGAAGAACGCATCCAATTCTTAAACATGGTAAATTATAGCATGTAATGCATAGTTTGGCAAGTGTTCTGGGTGCCCAGATTTCACTACTTTCATGATCTGTTTTTTTCAATTATGATGAATTTATAAGTTACTTACAAATAACTCTACATTTCAGACTGCATACCAGGACCCCAAGAGCATGCCCACTGCCTGTCATGGTCTTCAGCTTCCTGCTCTGGGTGGCTAGTCTGGATTTGACCTTAGTCGCAGTATGACTAGGCGGGCTCATCTCTTGGCAACTCCAGCTCACAATTGGCATTTGCCCAATTAGGTTTCAAAGGGGAGCAAGTGCTCCTTTTTACCTCTTTTTCCCCTCAAGCTCCTTAAGCCCTGGCTGAGAAGCTTCATTGTATAACAAGCCATACCTCTAGGATCTTTCAGCCTTTGTGAGTCCACAGGCAGAGCGCAGCTTCCAAGCAAGAATGTGAATAGGGACAGCGGCCCTGCTTCTCCTAGCCTAGCTGTGCAGCTGCGGGTGGGTTGGGTGGAAGACCTCCATGCCCCATGATACTGCCGAACCAGATAATCAGGATCATCAAGGAAAATGTAAGACCTTAGATCTCCCGCACACAAGCAGGACCCCCATCAGAATTTTCTCTTGCTAGGTAGACCATAATAAACAGCCTCATCCCAGAAAATGTTACTGATTACAGACTGTATAGAGCGTGGGCCTGGGTGCAGTAACAGACACCTGTAATTCCAACCTCTCAGGAGATTGAGGCAGGAGGGTCACAAGTTGGACCTCAGCTTGGATACCTTACTGAGACCCTAACTCAAAATAAAATAAAGAGGACCATGGATATAGCTGTATGGTAGCATAAAGGTCAGGTTCATTTAAAATGAATGATAGAGGGGGCTGGGGAGATGGCTCAGTAGGATAAGCGCTTGACTGGCAAACGCAAGGATCTGAGTTCAATCCCTGGTTCTGCAAAA